TGCCTCAAAATGATTTAGTTTTCCACAGCGGTTGCATTTCTTTCTTTCCAAACGCCGCGCATTCCCTTGGTCCATGTTTTCTGTTACATCTCATGCACTGGAACTCAAATTCGGCACCTGCATCATCCTTCCTATCTTGGTTGCTGGCTCCATACTTCTTAAATTTTGTCTTTGCAGGTAGCTTCCTGTCAATTTTTCCCACTATCTTCTCTTCCTGCATAGTCTTGACTCTTATTTTCAGCAATTCTTTGACTCTGCATATCTCAATGGCTTTGTCCAGTTTCAAATCAGCAATACTTAATAGTTTTTCTTGTACCGTCGCATCCGCAACTCCTAGGACAATCCTGTCCCGAATCATGTCCTGCTCGTCCACGAAGTCAGTTTTGTGCTAATTTTTTGAGCTCCTTTACGAAATTATCAATAGGCTTATTTGGTTCTTGAACTCTCTTATAGAATATGAATCTTTCATATACTATATTTTTTTTAGGAAGTAGATGCTCATCAAAATTTTTTAAAACTAGTTCAAATTTTTCCTGATCCACATCATTAAGTCCAAAATTATTGAAGATATCAATTCCTTCTTCACCAATCGTGTTCAGTAAAATTGCTACTTTGACTTCATCATTTTTTTTTTCGTGAAGTCCATTTGCCGTCATATAAATGTTAATTCGCTGCTTAAATCTTTTATAATTTTCAGCGATATTACCACTGAAATTCAATGGCGGTGGTACATTAACGTCTACTTTGAGCGATAATTACTCTTAGAAGTATTTAGTACAACTAAATTGAGGTTATCTTTTAGTTTCACACCACTTTCTACAGCTAGCTTTATACTAACATTAGCTTCTCACGCTGACACGTTGATAACCACTTTCTGGTATAATTAGACAATTAACGACTGCGCCATGTTGTGTATAAAGGTCAAAAATAATATTTAAACTTAATAAATAAACGTTTATTCTTATAAGCATGCTCTCATACAGCAAAGACTCTCAGCGCTCGCTTTCATGACACCTCGCCTGGCGCCCTCTCACAACACTCCGCATATTCCATACTACACAACACTTATACAATTTTTTCTTCGTTTTAACATTATTCATTTTGTATATACTGAGGATGACCATATTTAGGGTCGAAACGTTTATAATTATACCAGGTGTACAATAAGTATGAAGTGCAGATTTGAGACAACAGATGGTACACCAATGCAGTGTGTAGTAGAGATCCTATAATCAGAGTTTGGCCAAAGCGGACCAAAGATGGCGGATAGAAGGAGATAACAAATATTGCTTTCTTTCTCGTATTACGCTATCTGTTTCTTTCTATTGTTCGAACTCGTTTTCTGACATTGTACAAAGCTATCCGAAGAATACCGAATGGACCAAGGTAGAGAACTAATCAGAAGTTGGGCCCGCTTTGGTCTAACTCTTATTATAGAATCTCTAGTAGTATAAAGATTTGACGTATATGCCATTTTGTTGTGCCATCAACAAGTATCAAACGCGCATAAGTAATAAATTAAAAAAGTGTTTGCATAGTATTGTTTTGCTGTGTTCAATATGTCGAAATTTGTGCTAAATAAAGAGCATTCGTGGACAGTATAAATTTTTTGTTTTCATTTGAAAAAAACTGCTGCTGAATCATACCGACTACTTCAAGAAGCTTATGGTGAACATGCTCTATCGCAAGATACGTGTAAACGATTGTTTCGGCGTTTCAAAAGTGATGATTTCGATGTTGTAGACAAGGAACACGGAAAACTACTAAAAAGGTACTAATATGTTTTGCAAGCATTGTTGGACGAAGACGATTCACAAACACAAAAACAATTCGCAGAGCAATTGAGCTTTAGTCAACAAGCTGTTTCCAATCGTCTACGAGGGATGGGAAAGATTCAGAAGGTCGGCAGATGGGTACCACATGAGTTGAACGAGAGGCAGATGGAGAGGCGCAAAAACACATGTGAAATTTTGCTCGAACGATACAAAAGAAAGTCGTTTTTGTATCGTATCGTTACTGGGGATGAAAAATGGATATATTTTGAGAATCCCAAGCGCAAAAAATCATGGGTAGACCCAGGTGCACCATCCACATCGACCGCAAGATCGAATCGCTTTGGCAGGAAGAAGATGCTCTGTGTTTGATGGGACCAGAAGGGTGTAGTCTATTATGAGCTGTTAAAGCCTGCTAAAATGGTTAATGCCAAACGCTATCAACAACAATTGATCGATTTGAACCGTTCGCTACTCGAAAAACGACCCGAATATCGAAAAAGGCAACACAAGATCATTTTTCTCCATGACAATGCTCCATCATATACGGCAAAACCGGTTCGCGATACGTTGGAAACACTCAGCTGGGAAGTGCTAGTCCATGCGGCTTACTCATCAGTAGAGCCCGGATTAAAGTTCTAAGATCGCGTTGATCGTAGCTAGCTCTCCCCACTTTCACGTCGCTAAAGGTTGCGACGCTCGGTGTAGTATCAATGGTGGGGAGCGACGGTGGTGTGGCAACGGTGTTACTCGAAACAAGGAACGGAATACAAGCGAGAAAAATACTAAAACATAGCAAATACATTAAACCGTTATTTCCAGATTTTCCCCATTATTTCGAATACTTTCAAAATAACTTTATTCGACATTTTGTAATAACTTTCTTTATTTACAAAGGTAACACACAATAAAGTACATTTTTTAATTGTTGTAATTGAATCTTCGTTTTTCGCTCAATATATTTTTATACTCAGAAAAGCTGCGTTCTACGTCGGAAGAAGTAATAGGCGCGTACTTGAAAATTTTTAAGTCCTGTTTGAAAGAAGTTTGTTTTTGTAAGACCTTGGAGAAGATGCTTTTATTGTCTTGTTGTTAATTATCCCACCGCCGCGTTCCCCCCTATCGATGCTTCAAGCAACGGCTTCGGGCATGACGAGTGGTAGTGGGGATAAGAACGTGCTACGATCGACTCGAATTGGTACGTCCGTCGGCGGAAAATCCGGGCTCTACTCATCAGACTTGGCTCCTTCCGATTAACATTTGTTTGCATCGATGGGTCACGCACTTGCTGAGCAGCGCTTTGGTCTCGTACGAAGATGTGAAAAAATGGCTCGATGAATTTCGCGGTAAAAGGGGAAGATTTTTACTGGCATAGTATCCACAAATTACTCGAAAGATGGGAAAAATATGTAACTATGGAGCAATGGAGCATACTTTGAATAAACCACTTTTTATCATTCTTCCGAAATTAACGTGTTTTTTTTGGGAGGGGGGAAGTCTGCATTTCATACTTGTACACCTGGTATAACTTTGTATTTTAAAAAATATATATAATTTTCACAAACTCCATCCATTACGTTGCAAATGCTCGATCTTTTACTTTATATTATTAACCCTTAGTTCCGACTCCAGGGTCGTTTACGACCCTGCCGAATTTTCAAAGTGCTGTAGTTTTTGAAAACGGGTAGGGAGCGCGCATAAAAAAAGAATATTAAAATTTTTTTTTTTCAAAATATTACTATTGGGGCTTCAACTTGAAGGTTGAAGGAAGTTACTTGAATTTTTTCAGATTTTTTGAAGCGTTTTTATTGTCCCAAATAACGCTCGGACGCGAACGACCCTGGAGTCGGAATTAAAGGTGCCGAAAAGGACGGTCGGAACTAAGGGTTAAGCATTTTCTTACTCTCAATTACTCTCAAAGTTGGGCGCCAGGTACGAGAGAGCGTGCCACTCCTCGATACTCGATGATAATTCTCCCAAAAATCTGAATACTCTGAATATCACGAACGTTACTCGAAATATCACTAATGTTACATTAACAGCGACGGGCGGTAACCGGTAAGCCCAGCTACGGAATTGGTAGAGTGGGCGGTTCGTGTGAGCGGGAAAGGTTCGAGGAACGAGAGAGAGAACGCAATAATTAAACCACAATTAATAAAAAGACGGACATGACATATATTTAATCGATATCATCTATCCGGCATACAATTGTCGTGAATTACGTTAATGATGAGTGGAACACGATAACCGTTTCGTAGATGCCGTCGAGCCTTCTACTCGCGGTAACAAATGAGTTATTCGACAGTGATCGCGACTTTCTCCGCGAAAACAAGTGCTCTCATTCTAACAAGTACGGAAAATTCTGACTCGACGACATTATTCGCTCGATCTAGAGGCGATGGTATAAACAATTACACAATGTCCAAACACAATACGCGATGACCTGGTGGCGACAAGAGCGTTACTCGGAAAAACGCAATAATTCTTAAAACGATTCGGGCGGGTCGCACGCGGCATACAATAAACTTTATTCGCGGCAGCCTTTGTTACAGGTATTTGGGCGACATGCTCTCGGCCCGTGCGTCTCACCCGATATCGCGATGCAAAGGATCGGCGGCCTTACAAATCGTGACGTCTGTCCTACCGATATCCTCCTAATTGTACGACCTGCGTTTCCCCGCCGCCGGGAGTATTCTGCTCGTCATTGCCAACAATCTTCTCGGTCCCTCTTCTCCGGCAATCGGGTGAGACAGTTCCATATAATCCAAAATATAGCCACCAATCCTTACGTCTATCGCTAATAAAAAATGCTCGCAATGGAAAATATTACAAAAATCACGTAGTTATTACGGCGCACGACAGCCAGCGCTCGCACGCAAATACGCTCGCCCCCCCCCCCCCCCCCCCC